CCGTGACTTTAGCCGCTGAGTTGATGATGTCACTGCGTGCACTTGAAAATGTTCTCCGCGCAACCCTTGCCACTGGTTGATCCCCAGGTGCATATCCGTAATTTCGTGGGGGAGAGGTAGAGCTCCCGGCATTTGTGCCTCGCGCCTTGTGATCGTGACTGACTGCAGCTTCCTTTACTTGAAAGCACGACAGAGCTCTCGATACGGCCTATACGATTTGTAAATCATCTAGTTTTTTGGGTCAATCCTCGTTCTGAGGTTATCCTTCGGAACAAGCGTGAAGCTTGATGCATAAAACAACTCTTGGTTTGTATTGCATACAGCCTCAATGCGACCGGAGACACTCTCGCAATTCACTGCAGCTTTAACGTAACGAGCTGAGGATGCAGCGTTCTTCTTGCAAGCTGAGTACATAGATCTACACCCTTTTTCAGCAATAACCATCCCCTTGTGCTTTTTAGCAATCCTTCCTTCGCCAAAGACGAATGGAAAATCAAGAGACCGTTTGTGAGTTCCAATAGCTCTCGCCTTGAGCTTCTCAGAAAGAAATTAGATAGTTCCTTTCGCGTTATAGCCTCTGTCGGATGCGAATATTGCGTCAGTCATTGGCCTCAGAGAGCCTTCCGTAGGTTTTTCTTGAATCTTTTGGAAAAGCCGCGCCCATTTATCTATGAGTCCCTCTCCGAGCCTGCAGTGATTATAGGCCAGAATGACTGGAACGAGGGCGGAGCGTGCAGCATTGCCTACAGGTCCTAAAGCTTTTGATGGGTTTTGTCTCTGCTATAAATGTGTAAGCTGCGAAACAACTCTTGATGAAAGACGATGGTGGTCATTATCAAGAAAATATATGTTGAGCCCTTTAATATTCAGATGCGTCGTGTTTATTGCACCCGTTTCTTGTTCGAGTTACGCAATAAGAGCATTGGCGCGTTCCGGTTTGTTCATCCAGGTTGGATTTTCTTCTTCCCCTTCACCAGCGATGTGTGTTGCACGTGATCGTTTCCCGGTGGTGCCCGACAGTGCCGACTAAACCTCTTTGCAACGATCTGCACGGATATCCATCTGCAGAAATGCATCTTGTTCGTGAGTAGAACACATTGTCGTTGGTCACTTTCCGTAGCTTGCCGATAAAACATGCAGAATGATGCCACCTGTCAGCTCGTCAATTGAAACTGGGTTGTACTTTCTACTTGCTCTCCCATTTCGACGCTCGCTCAATACGCGATTAATGGAACTCCGTTTTTCCAGTAGGAAAGGGGCTAGAAAGACTCCAAGCAATTATGGTCTCGATAGCTTTACGCGACTTCTGTTGTTCCCTTGTGTCGCACTGTCGTCTTGAAATCTGGTCGCCTGTACTTCTCGAACGCAAACTTCCAACATTCTGCTCGCTTCACGAATGTACGGCCTTTCCAGTTCCGAGTCTACGTCGTCCACAGCAATTTTGATAACAGTAAAAGCGGAATCATGTGTCCAGCTCTCAAGCCCGCCTTCTTGATGTGATCTACTTCGTGTGCTTAAAATGTCGCCAACACCGCTCTCTTCTTCTTCTGCCGCTTCTCAGTAGGGATCAGAGGGCCTCGCTGTGTCGTCTACCATTTCTCCTACATAGTGCATAGGTTCCATAAATAAACCTGTATACATATCGTCAACGGCAGTCTGGTTTGCGTCTTATTCCCCTCCTTAGATAAGAATGTGATCGCTGTTCGCTCAATTCGTGTTCAATCCCGACAAGGTTCTGATCATAGAAACCGTCTTCGTCTTCAGAAGTAGAAAACCGCTCTCCAGCTGCTAGTATACTGAGCAGTTCTTCGTGTTGCTGTGACCACGCGACGTCGCCTGGATCCATACTGTCAGAACTGTCACTGCCCGTGAGATTTCCATCTTCCGAACTCGCGAGAATTTCGAGATGAAGATTTTCATGAGGAGGCAACGGCGCATCTTTTAAACTTTGTTTGGGTGTGTTAGATGCGTTTGTAGTACGATCTGCCCCGGATGTCGGAACACTGTGTTCATGTTGGTTTAAAGTCATTGATGGTGTAACGTCAAAAGACATTGTCCGATTCACATCGCTGGTTGTCGGTCCGACACTTTTGTCCATCCTTGGTGACAAAGATCTTCTTACGTGACACATCGCGTATTCGTGTTCAACGCCGATCTTGTCATTTTCAAAGTCACACAGGCTGTACCCTAGTAGGGTACAGCCTGTGTGACTTTGAAAACGCGGTGGCGAATCATCTCGAGACACAGTACGCGATGTGTCACGTAAGCATTGTGCCGTATCTGGAACAGCGAGGGGTTCTGGTGACGGAAGGGCGTCAGAGTTCGATATCATGTTTTGCACACCAAAGGGAAGTAGCGTAGTCTTAATTGAGCTCTGGATTTATAAACATAAAGTTATTGTGGGTCCAGTGATTCTGTCACCGGGACCCACGAATCTGCCAGGAAACGGTGTAACGATGAGAGAGCAGCATTTCGAGGAGATCCAAAGACTGCACGACGGCGCGATGTTCGCACAGGGTTGGAAGGGTTGATGTTTGTCTTCTGACAAAGTCAGAAAGTCCTACGTAAGTGATGCTATGCACGTGTGTTGTATTTCGGAAGCAGGAGTCTCTTCCAAGAAGGAAATGCCGTTGTAGACCGAAATAGACTCAGTCGGTCGCAAGCGACTATCGCAAGCGACGTCATAGACTGTCAGACGACGTCGCAGACTTTCGTAGAATGCGTCATACACCTCACGTTGATTCTGTAGACTGGCACGTAATTCTACAGGAACGTCTCCCACAACGCCTCCCTGGGAAATAGACAAAAGATAAGTCGACTTCAAGCAAAGGGATACGATTAAGGTGTGTTACCAATACCGGAGAACGCCTACAAGTAAATTTCGCGCCCATTGTATGCATGTGTCTCCCGAGAAATGCTCTGTTATGACCGCAAGGTAAATCTATGACCCAAGTCCAAACTTGGGATGTCACATGGGCAAACCCTTTCTATGGGGGGCCATTTCCCATATGTATAACTTATTCTCATACCCGGGATGCCCAATAAAAGGATAGTGTGGGAGACCCCAGAAAACCGTCCATTATTTGCTTCCCGAGAGGATCAGGGAGGCCCAGTAGATAGCCTTGCCCTGACCAATGTAAATGTGCCCTGGACGGGCCGTTTGAAAAGGGGTTATTCTGAGTGACGCTCGCTCTGGCTTTCTGTAATGCAGGTGTGACCAGCGCATCTTCGGTCTCATCAGTTCCCCCAGCCCCCAGGAAACACTGCCCAGAGCCATCTAGATTGTGAATCCTTGGTCTAGCTACCATCATCACAACGGCTTCATCTGGTCCTCTTCTACCTGATCCTACCGTCCCGTCCGGCCCCGAAATTGAAAAACTTCGCATGAAGTTTCATATTTCCATTCGCACCATGTTGTTTCATTTTGGTTTTGGTTCGTTCCACATCACCAGATCCGTGAGCATTGCCACATGGCATTAGATCTGTACGGATATGTGCTGTATGATCCAACGAAATTTTCCATGCCAAGTCCCGACCGCCGATTGCCGTCGAGTACTCAACGTCGGTCAACATTGCGTAGCGCGCGGTGGGCCTCAGCTGTGTTACTTTTATTTATGTTCACATGAATTCCGACACTTCGGCATTGATATCTATGTTTGATGAAAAACGAGGACAGTACCACTTGATCTCTTCCTCAATTCATGAACGTACTGCAGTGACAACTATCCGAACTATCCCATACTATTCCAGACCATCTGATGTTGATGCTTTGACTTTTAAACACAACTGCAATGCAATTGAGCTCACCTGGCGAGGACCTAACCATTAATCTACAGAGAGTAACTGGGAGGGCACAAAAAGGTTACGGAAAGCCGTTCGGCCTTTGTTTACCCCTTATGCCATTGAAGGTATCTAATCAAACAACATGCTTTCTAATGTTATTCGAATGACAAAAGAACAAATGTTTTCAGCTGCGCTTGCTTCATCCAGACATTTCATCGAATATCTGAAGGATCCCCATGATGCGGAAAGCACCATTAGAGTCGCACACACTCTTTTCCGAGGAAGAGAACTAGAGTTAATTTCAAGTCGTCGGTGCACGCGACATATGTCAGCGAGAGAAAAATCAATAAGTATTTTGTGGCAAACCGCTCGGAGGCCGCCAAACGCGGTCTGTCTCAACTCTTCCGTGTTTGATGCCACCCTTGTCATTCACTGCACATGCAGCCTTGTATCAGGCTCCAGTATTGTAAGCCAACAATTCCATCATACCATTACTTGTCAAAATGATGCAAGACTTCTCGCTAGAATCAAATATATTTTAGACAGAAGCGAAACCCATTTTGCAAGGCCAGCCATGAACACTTCTGAACCATTCCCATGCGCAGAGCTTGAACGGAGAGACGACGATGCCCTTTTCCAAAGAAGGACGATTGTCTATATGTGGTCTTTTTGGGTTGTTTTGGACTCAGAAAAAGGCATTTTTGCATCCGTTCTCCGTATGGACGGCAAACCTTTTCAGTGCAAACCTTGCAGAGGTTCCGCTTACAGAAGAGGTACGTGTATACATGTAGAATCTTGTCGAGTCTCTAACAAGTGCGTTGAGAATGTGGGCGACAATTCGGAGACCGCGTCAAGTTTCGAACAAGCTTTGAGGAGGTCGATAGAGAGACAAATTTACGTAATATTCCGGTGAAGATCAATGACATTGATACAATTAGAAAGTACGCAAAAATAGTCATCCCCCGTAGTCTTCTTCTATGTAGAGTCGATCCAAAACAGCACCCTGGCGATAGCAAATCAATTGGAAAATCTGAAATCTGGATACATCCTTCATTTGTCAGACGCCGGGCGTTCCACCTGTCCCAGGTGTGATCGGCTTCAAGCCAAACATTCATTCTCGCAATTCAGGACTATTAAACTCTTCACTTTAAGTCATGGTGTCCCAATGGTCCGGTTTGTAGACTGGGAGTGTCTAACATGCATGAAACTCGTACACTTCATGGGTAAGTGGGCTGGAGTGTTTCCAATCCGCAGAGACTCGGCATTCGCAATGGAGCTTCTTTACATCCGGATCCACAGTGTATGCCAGCAGGGTGTAGCATAAATACCGGTATGTTTATATTAGATTTAGAATTAGATCTAACGCTGTAAGGTACGGACCTTACAGCGTGCGCGCGCATACCTTACGGCGTGCGCACCAACACGTGCATCAAACGTGTAGCACACGTTTTGCTGTCAGCCCCGACGGCTGACAGTGTTACAGTGCGGGTCGGCCCGCCCTGTCTACAGTAAGCCGACTACAGTACAGTCCGTGCTGTACTGTAGACGGTTAATTAACTTGTACAATAAATAAAGGGAGCGACCGCCGGCGGAGGGACCCGAGCTAGGCAAACCTCCACCGACGGTCTACCTCCCAGCTTACTCTTAACTTTTGCCCGGCCGATCTGCGACAGTTAATTAGCTACCGCTCGGGTAGTGGACGCGCGCGACGACGTCGGCGAGCTCGGGTCTGCCTCTGACATTCAGTACCGGATCGTCAACCAGTAGTGCTCCGGGGCGTCGAGGCGTTGATCCGCTCGTCTACGCGCGCGTTCTCGCCGACGCCGCTCTACCACCCGCTACTGGCCCGTGTAGTGCAATAATCGACTACACCGTGAGGGGGTGAAAAGAAAAAGAATTGAGGCGTATGACAAATTGGGGGGGATGACAAGTGAAAATTATTTCACTTTATTATTTTAATCATTAATTTTAATTAGTTGCATATTAGTTATTTAACATTAGATTAGATCTAGGATCTAGCGCCGAGAGCTACTGTAGTGGCTCCGGCGGGGCGATATATACCTTGGCCCTCTGACCACCAGTCAGTAAAGGTAACCCGAGTTGCCAGAGTTGAATATCGCCTTGGTCGAAGTCCGTCTTTCCCAAGACGCTCCCTTTTACCACAGATTACGTTATCCTTTGCGCGCCGGGGTTCCCTTCCTTTTCCTTTATTTCACCTATCCATTTCTATTTCTATCTCTATTTCTATGCCCTTACCTTGTGTTGGTTCCACAGTGCCTGATTGCGATCCGCATTGTGACGACGGGAGTCATCGGACTCTTGTGATGGCTCTTTTGTTTGTTGTTGGTGCCATCGGCTTTGGTTGCAACCGGACCGGTGTAGGTGTCTTAGCCATTGGGCGACACGTGGGTGTAGCGCTGCTACTTGTTTACGTCCCCCGACGGAGGCTGTTGCGACGACGTCTCCCTCGAAGGTCCTGCTGTGTATACAGGACAGTGTTGGTTCCATCGGATACAGGTTGCGACCGTTCCGGTGTCGGTACTTTGCCATCGGGCAGTACGGATGTGTAGCGCTGCTACGTGTTTGCTGGTTCCCGACGGGCTGCGTTGCGACGCCCCCGTCGAAGACCTTATCAAGTGTATAAGGTGTAACAGGTGCTCCGCGAGCATTGGATCTACGACCCATCAAGTCCGGCTTCTTAATCACCGCCCCGAACTCGCCGAGCAGCTGCCTGTACAAGAATCTACCACCATTCGTCCCGGGCCGGGCATCTTCCTTTTGCCCCCCCCCGTATCAGGGACTTGAGCTACTGTGGGCCGCAGACCCACTTCAAGGGAAAGGGAGAATCGGACACTCCGTAGGGCTGTTCCGTCGGCAACTCTTGTTGGTTGTTGTTTGTTGGTTGTGTTGTCGCTGGACCGTTGGACCCTGGTTCCGGCCTGACAGGCACATTGCACTACAGCCCGTGCCAGGTGGTGTTGGGTTGGTCTAAGACCCTCGGTACCGCCGATCCGGGGCCTTCGCGCCGAACGCTGCAAACACCCCTCCTCCGTGTGGGGGTGTTTTTGCGACACTGGTCTCCCGACCTAGAATACCTTCAAGATCACGCCGAGAAGGTTGTCCTTTACGTCGGCGTCCGTACGCCTTGAGATGAGCGCCGAGTACCCGACTTCGATCCGCTCCGAGCCGGCGGATGTGCGAGAGGCCGCGCTACGCGTCCAAGTGGGCGACGGCGACGCAGGTCCTCGAGACCGCGAACCGTCGCCTGACTTCTCCAAAGGACGCGCTCGCACGATGTACGATCGCATCGCGGAGTACATCGAAGATTTCCGAACATCTCTCCGTATGGACGTCTCTAGCATCGTCTACTCCCGCTGTATGGAGGACTTGCGCTCCCTCCGCGAAGGAAAGTTCGAGCGCGTAACTCAGTCCTTGGAGAACCTGCGCGCGCTCGTCGACCAGCTGTACGCCCGTTTGGTGCTGGTCGAGGACGCGCGCATGGATTCCCCCGCCGTCGAGGTTGCGGGTCGACCCGCCAGTGCCAACTACGGGGTTCGACGAGACCCGCAAGCCTTCCCATTAGCCGAACAGATGGGAACGTTCGCGCACATGGCGGCGGAGCCTAACTCAACTCGCCGCCGTGCCCGTGAGATGGAACAGACCTCGGCCGAGGGGCCGCCCGGAGCCCCCTCGAGTAGGTCCGGTGCCACTGTTCCCCCGGGCCCGTTCGGATCGCAAGAGTGGCCCCTGGCTGGTGCCATCACCAGCCAGAGGGCGGAGGACATCAAGCCGACGGCGGACGCGAACTTCCCGTCCGAGACTCAAGCCCTGCCGCATGCCTCGGGAAGCATGCAGCAGTCACGACGGGTACGGACCGAACTCGACCAGGGCCGTGGAGGAATCGCACGCGGATCACGGGAACCGATTCTTCCCTCGATCCTCGCCGGGGCGGCTACCAGCCGACGGATCTTACCGCACATCCCGGCCCCGTCGACGTCCAAAGCTTGCCCGTCCCTCCGTTCGGAACGTTGGGTCCCGCCGAACCCGAGGTCGAGCCTGTCCACACCATGATACAGGAGTTCAGCGCCGTCGCGAACTACCGGATGTATCGGTTGGACAACACGTCGAGGCTTTTTACGTCGGATGACGCCGGACGGATTGCGAAGTGCATCCAACGCTGCCGTGGGCGCCGTCCCACGATGAAGAGCTTCGCCGGTACTGACGCCATTCAGTTGCTCCGGTTCCTGAAGGATATCCGGATAACCTTCAATGCCCAACACCTGACCGAAGGTGTGGCAATCTATGTCTTCGCTCACTTCCTCGAGTGGGACGCAGAGCGGTTGTATACGACTTACACCATGCGGCCTCCGCGCCGGTCAGCTCCACGACGACACGAGCGGGCCCGGTCTCCTTGAGACGTTGCGCGGCGCGATCGAATCGGTCATCGATGCTTGCTTTGACTTTTCCTAAGGACTCCAAGGCTTGATTCGCGTCGCGCCTCGCGTCCTTGACTGAAATTTTCAACGAGGCTAGGACCTCCGGCTCCAGACCGTCGGTCGCCTCACCTCGCTCCTTCTCGACGAGATCCACTCGAGCCGACAGCTCTCCCAAAACGGTGTGGAACTCGGATGTCTGCAACTCCAGTTGCTTCCGGACGAGGGCTAATTCAGCCTCGAGATTTTTCGTCATCTCTTGGCGAATTTCCTCGCCCATCTTCTCGAACCTGTAGGATAGGTTATCCTTGTCGGTTTCAATCCCCGTCGGGGAATCTTGACCCTCGGGATCCGTGGCCGTATTGGCCTGGCTTCGGGTGCGAGGACCTCGCGGGATCCTCGACGCCCTTGCCGATCCGCTCCTACTCGCCCCGGGACCGACGTCTCCGGGGGCGCTTGTCGACATGGTTCGTTTCCAAAAACGAACCTAACTTAACACAAAGAAAAAAATAGAAAACGCCACTGCACCTGAATAAACTTACGTCGCAGATATAACTCCTGTAGTCCGTTTCAGCTTACGCAGTTTCTAGGTCGGGTCTCCTGTACGCAATTCTAGGTCGGGAGACCACTTTTGTAGTGCAATTCGCCTATTAGGCAGAGACCAAGGTCCGACGGTCCAACACAAACAACAGCAACAAAAACAACAACTGCCAACGGCACAGCGCTACGGAGTGTTCGAAGCTCCCTGTCCTCTTTAAGCGGGTTTGCGGCCCGCAGTAGCTCGGATCCTTGATAGGGGGGGGGCAAAGAGAAGGGCCCAGCCCGGGATCGGTAAATGGTGGTAGAGACTTGTAAAGGCGACTGCTCGACGAGTTCGGAGGGGTGTTTAGGTAAACTTGGTCCGATGGGTCGTAAATCCAATGCTCGAAGAGGGCCTTGTACACCTTATACCCTTGATAAGGTCTTCGACGGGGACATCGCAACGTAGCCCGTCGGGAAAGAAGAAAACGTAGCAGCGCTACACCGTCGTACTGCCCGATGGCAAAGTACCAACAACGGATCGGTCGCAACCAGATTCCGATGGAACCAACACTGATAAAAGCACCACTGGTGCACCAACACAAAAGCCCGATGACAAGTGACGTCACGTTGCGGATCGCAATCCTTCAAGGTGGGACCAACTCAAGATTAAGGGAAATTAGGATAGGGAAGTAAAGGAAAATTGATAAGGAAAAAGGGGACCCCCGAGCGCAAAGGATAAAGTAATCTGTAGTTAAAGGTAATGTCTTGTAAAAGACGGACTTCAACCAAGGCGATATCAGACTCTGGCAACTCGGGTTAGATTGGGAAATAAAGGGAAAAGGAATGGGACCCCCGAGCGCTGAAGGATGCCGTAGGCTTAGGTAAAAGGGAGCGTCTTGGTAGAGACGGACTTCGACCAAGACGACATTCAACTCCGGCAACTCGGGTTACCTTTACTGACTTGGTGGTCAGAGGGCTAAGGTACATATCGCCCCGCCGGAGCCACTAGAGTGGCTCGCGGCGCTGGATCCTAGATCTAATCTAGTGTCAGCAAAATTAATGCCAACTAATTAACTAAATAAAATAAAATAATTAAAAATTAAAACTGTGCAGTTATTCACACGTGTGTCCCCCAACCCGGACTACTTTTCATATCCAAATATTTTCCTTTCTTGTCACCCCCCTGTAGAGCCCATTATTGCACTACACCGACGACGTGTTGGGGGAAGCGTTTGATGCTGTCGAATCGGCGCGACAGCTCCCTCACGAAACCGAGAACACGTTGGCGGACCGGCTGGAATCCGCCGCGTTCCGGGGCACGGCCGTGTTCTCAGAACAACCCATTGCGCACTACTTCGTGCGCGGGTTGTCCACTGCGACCCGGGCCGCAGTGGCGGAGACGACGCAAGGATTGCCCGGACAACAGAAGACTGAACCCTCAACAA